TTCTCTTTTTACTCTTTTGGTGAAGTCTTTTGAAGAGCATAGGTGTTTGATTTTTAGAAGATCCCAGTTATCTAGCTTATCTTTTGGGGCTTGTGCGTTGATGGTTGTGGTTTGTATCCTGTCAATGCCGTGCATTAAGGCCTGTAGTGTTGGGCCTATTTTTTCTCCTAGAACTTTATAGTTTCAGGCTTTATATTCAGGTCTTTGATCTATTTTGAAGTAGTTTTTGTATACGGTGTGAGGTATGGGGCCTGTTTCATTGTTGTAGTTTTTTTTAAATAAGCCTTTTGAAACAATCACGTTTCTAAAACCATGAACACGTAACATACAAAATTTTATAAATAAGAAACACTGGCCTTTGTTCTGAGTTTATCTCCTTTGAAAGAAAAATGTTGAAAGTGTCCTTTCTTAGGGAGAAAAATGTGGAACGGAACTTCAAATTCTTAAAGAATCCAGACTTACTGGATCTGTTGAGGCTGGCAGAGTCCCCAAGTCTATGGCCCTGAGTTACTCTTTAGATCTTGAATTGAAACTATCCCCTGTAGTCACCTTTAAACTAAGTAACCGTTTAGCTCAGAAAGTAAAGATTGTCACCCTTGAGTACTGTGTTCTTTTGAAAAAATTCTCTCTTTAAGACCAAATGGGTAACAGCTATCGTGAAGCACAAATGAGACAGCGGGGGGGCAGCGAGTTTAAAGAAATGGGAGTGAAATAACTAGAACAGAAATAACGAGAAGGTTGACACAATGTGAAGAATGTATTAACCAAATGTCACCGATCATTACGTTTAGAAACTGGAATGGAGCGGGTTTTGCTGTGTATATTTTCACCAAAAATAAAATACTAATTTAAAAAAACTGTCCTTTACACGGGAAATTCGAGGTGGAAAGGAGGAGTGTGCTGTCACCGTATAGGGAGAGCAACTAGGGTCACAAAACAATGTGTGTATAAATTTTTGCATGAGAGACTAACTTGAATTGTAAACTTTCACTTAAAGCACAACAATAAAAAAAAGAGGGTCTTTTCTTACATAAAATGATGGTGATAAGGGATAGTCGATTTGTTTTGTTAATGTCCTCATCTGGCAAAATAAACGTCTCTGTTCCCCTGTGCGTCCTGAAATCCGAGCCTGGGAGCCCCAGATCCGGAGCCCCCGGTCAAGGGCGGAGAGCCACTGGCTCTGCGCGCCTGCGACACCGCAGTCGGCCAGCAGGTGTCAGGCGAGCTCCATTCAGGGCCCGAGGCACCGCTAATGAGCACTGCCGCCGCGCGGGGGTGGAGCGCTCCGCGGCGCGCGGTGTCTCGGGGAAGGAGGCAGAGGGAGGATCCCGGACCTTCCGCAGGCTGCGGGACCCGATAGATGGCCAGCTGGGTCCTGGGTCTCAGCTCTGCCGGGACCCCAGCGCAAGAAGACAGCGCCCTTCCCCAGGCCCCACGCCGCGTTTACGACCCGCCCTGGCTGCACCCGGCGTGGGGCGTGGCCGGCTCTCCCGCCGCGGGTTCGCGTAGCCTGGGCAACTCACCTTGCTGGTGTTTGGCGGGGCTTGTGCAACCTTGCCACCCACACCGGGTTGTCGTGAAGATCAAACAGAGAGTACATAGGTAAAGGATTGTTATCACTAGACTTATAGGTTTATAACTGAGACTCAGGCCTCTAGCGAGGCTTCGTCTAGGCCCCCGAGCAGTTCTAAAAGGTTTCGGTGCTTCACGATTAACCCCCGGGGGTGATTTTACTCGGTGTGGAGTGGGATCCAGGAATCAGCATTTGCCACAGGTTGCCAAATTCGGAAAAGGGCTGTGCCCAACGCACACCTGGAGAAACATCCCCCTAGCTTCTCTGGTCACCCCCCAGGGCAAGCAGTCGGAAAACAAAGAATGAGACAGGAGTCAGCAGTCAAAGGGAAACGGGCCTGCATTAGAGCCAGTAGTGCTGGTAGCTGGTCCCGTAGAGATCCAGTTGCCGGATGAGTGTAAACAATCAAAAATTCCCCCAAGAACCAAAGCGAAGTGCTCCCTGCGCCTCCAGTCACAGCTCAGGCTTGTTGGTGTTTTGTGGTTTTATTATGTGTACGTATACATGCATCTTTTAACATTTCTCTTGAACTTTGCATACAGCATCAGCAGAACCATCACACGCTCCCCCGGTTGCCCCGGCCCCGGCAGCCAACACCTAGACTGGGTGGGACATTCCATTCCGTCACATTCTGAACGTCTCCAGCCCAGTTAACCCAGCAAGACCACCATGTAAACCTCATTCATCTCCAACACAGCAGGGGCAGAATGGGGAAGCAAAGGCACAGCTTCCTGAACCTGGGGTCTTCACCTCGGGTGGGGTGGAGTGGGGTGCTGAGGAACTAAACCCCTCTGTCTCAGGCCCCAGGCCAGGACTGGAAGCCAGGAACAGGTGCCGTTGGGCTGGGAGCAGAGGAAACCAGCTCCCTCTCTTAGGAACATCGAGGGGGTGGAACAATCCAGGCCTGTCGTCCCCAGTCTTCCCCCGACTGCCGCATCCAGACTACCAGGCAGAGGGACTCCAGGCTGGTCTTCTCAGAACACCCGTTTCTGCGGCAGCCAGATCTGGATTCCAGCTCTAGTTTTATTTTTTTATCTTTTAAAAACTCGAGGATGTTTTCCAGAAATGTATGAGCTTCTACCCTTTCCATTAAAATCACTGGAAGCTCTGGGAAGGGAGGCTCAGAACTCCTCTCCTGAGGCGAGGGCCCATTCCACCACGCCCCCCGCCCCCGACCCCAGGACCAATGAGCAGGCTGGAGGGCAGGAATGAGACCCAGGGCCAGTCACTGGGCCAGTCGCTCTCCACAGACCCAGGGCTGGAGCTAGACAGGAGACGGCACAAGTAGGTGGTTCTTCCCCAGAACACGGGCTTAGAAGCAGATGGGTTTACTTCACACTGTGTTTAATAAAACGGCAGCAGCCGCTGTGCGGTTTGAACCAAATTAGCCATAGTGTCCAGAGAAATGTCCATAGGCAGCCTCAGCTGGAGTTGAGCCCGCCAACCCAGGCAGGACCGGTGCCTGCCACCCAGAGTCAGCTGCTGGCAGTCCCATGGCCAGGAGTGCATGGTGGCCATGGCAGAGCGTGCCGGAGGGCTCCGAGGGGCTGCTGTCAGGACAGCATGGAACACGTCCTCCACATGTGCTCTGATCTCTGCCCTGCAGGAGGCGCTCAGCAGCACAAGTGTTCTGAGATGCTATATTCTCAGATTTCCATGCTACCAGGGTGGGATTTCGGCCCTAAAGCATGAAGCCCTGGAGGAAGGGAGGGCTGCTGGAGAGGGTCCCCCTCACAGGCTGCTGGGAGCAGATGCCTCTAGAATCGGGCAGAAACAACGGCAGGCTCCCCCTCGCTCCCAGAAAGAAAAGAGACTACAAAGTTCAAGTAAATGGGAAGGGAAATGCTAACTTTTCTTTCCCAAGAATAGAGAATGAGAAGGGAATTGTCAGCCTAAAATTTGACCCAAAATCTGGCACAAATTGGGGGAAAATTCCAAATATCCATAAGCAAACCAAAGGGAAGGTAGGTGAGTGAGGAAACCAAGAACAGCGGTGGTTAGGTCTTTGTTCACACCTACAATGGTGGCCACACGGATCCTTCTGGGGGTACCCATGTCTAGATGTGAGGCCTCTGGGGACCTTCAGCCTTCTGCTTGGCTTCCTGCCAAAGACTCACCCCAAAAAGGTGGCCACTGGCCTGCGCCCAGGTGCCTACCCTGGGAGGTGGGGCATCAGACTCAGAAGGTGGAAGGCAAAGGCACCGAGTCACCAGAGCCTATCCCAACAGTCCCCACAAAAGCCCTGCTTCCTGCCGAGTCCTTGCACAGCAGGTGAGCCCTATTCCCGGCTGGCCTGCTGGCCCCAGCTGTGAGGCCCACAGTGCTTGGCAGCCATTGCAGAGAACTCGACCTCACGCAGAGGTCAGAGCGCTGGGGCAAGAAGGGCAGCTGGGCAGTGGGGCCTGCCTTGGGCAGGGTGGGAGAGCTGCCAGCTGTCTACTTCCAAAGAAAGGCCTCTAGGTGCTGGGAAAGGGGCTGAAAGGACTCGGGGCTAGTGGAAGTCAGCATTGAAGGCTCTGCCGATGACCAGCCGCCTCACCTCACTGGTCCCGGCCCCGATCTCATACAGCTTGGCATCTCGCAGAATGCGGCCCATGGGGAAGTCATTGATGTAGCCATTGCCACCTGCAGCCAGGGTTTGGGCAGAGAAGAAAGCACAATGGACGTGATGGGCAGTGGGCCAGAGTGAGGGAAGCGAGCAGTGTGTGGAGACAGGCAGGAGCAAGAGGTGGTGAGAGGGAGGGGCTGGGAATACCTGCTGGGCGAGGGTGGGCAAGGGGCTAGAGGGCCCCCCAGAGTGCTGAGGTTACCAGAGGGAGGGGGAACCCCTGGCAGACATGGAAAAAGGGGACAAGAAGATGCCAGCATAGCACGTACTAGGTGCCAGCCACAGAGCACTGAAGTAATTCACACAAGCCACCACGCCAATAAGTGGCCGAGCCGGGATTCAAACCTAGGCTGTCCGGCTCAGATCCGTGCTCTGAACCACTGTGCAGCATTGACCAGGGCTGTCCCACCTATTTCCTAACGTCCACGGCAGCAGGGGAGAGGGAGAGAAGGGGGCGTTGCTGAAGCCAGCAGCAACTATGGCCCCTAGCAGCTTTCTCATTGGCGTTTCCACGTCCTCCTGGTAACTGGGACAGAAAGAGCCTAGAGGTTCCTGCTCAGCTATGGCGGGCTTGAGCAAGAGTGAGAAACGGAGAAGAAACCGTAGCCTCCAGGAATGAGAACAGCCCTGCGGTGGGGTGGGGCCACTCACCGAGGCACTGGATGCCATCCAGGGCCACCTGTGTGGCACACTCCGCCGAGTAGAGAATCACACCCGCACAGTCCTGGGGGGGGAGGCTACGGTCAGCAGGCCCCGCCGCGGCCGCGCGCAGCGCCAGCGCCAGCAGCCGGCCCCGGCCTCTCCCTCCTCCACTTGGCCCTCACCTTGCGGGTGCAGTGACCCTCGTCACAGGCCTTGGCGACATTGTAGACGTACTGCCTACATGCCATGAGGCGGGTGTACATGTCGGCCATCTTCCCCTGCATCAGCTGGGCACAAAGGGGCGGGGGGTCGAGTCAACACGCTGGAGCCATTTTCCTCTCAGAATACCCTTCCTAGTTGCCAAAAGCAGGTCAACAATAGCAAGCTCACAGCCGGGAACGGGGAAACCGGCACAGAAAGGACCGGCCTAGGATGACAGAGATGGTGGCCAGTCTGGGAGCTAAGGCCAGAGCCCGGCCACTTCACCGTGGAGTCTGCACTCTGAACCGGCCCTCGCTGCCTCAGAACCGCGTTGCCCTCAAGGACCACCTACCATTATTCTCATTCATTCCCTGCAGCTTCTTCAGACCAGAAGGGCCGGCTAGAAATGCCGCTCCCTTTTCCCTGTGCCTCCCAACAACCTGATGTCCCTGGGTGGGGCAAGCGGTTAAGCATTCGGCCGCTAACTGAAAGGTTGATAGTTCAAGCCCACCCAGAGGCACCTGAGAAGAAAGGCCTGGCGCTCTCTTTCCAAAACATCAGCCACTGAAAATCCTGGAGCACAGTTCTGCTCTGACACACACGGGGTCGCCATTGAGTCGGTTGACTTGACAGCAGCTGGTTCTCCCCACTACCTGCCTACTTCACCCTCCCGCCTTACAGCCTTACAATGTCTCAGAATATAATGAATCCTAAACAAGAATTCAGTTGACAATGTGAGAAAATTCCTAAAAAATTCCAAAGCCAGCAAGCATGCTGAAGAAGGCTACCTTAAAAGTATCCAATCTAATCTTGCTAGAGGACGGTAAACATCAGCGCATGCCCCGCCTTCTCATTCATGCACTGAGATAACATTAGCCCAGTGAAAGCATACATTTCCCCAGAGCATCCCACTCACCTGGAAGTGGCCAATCTTCTGGCCAAAGGCTTCCCTCACGTGTAGGTAGGGAATGGTGTGGTCAAGGACGGACTGCATGAGCCTGCCGGAGGAAGAAAGACACTGGGGAGGCACCGTGTTGTCCCACCACTGCCGGTACAGGCAGCAAAGCCCAACGGGGAAGGTCTGGGGGAGACTCGGGAAGGTAAGGAACTGGTGTTCCAGGGAGGAGAAAAGGAGCATCCGAAACTTGTCTCCACTGCCCGTTGCTGCACCCACTGCCCAGTATGTGTGCTCCTTTCTCCTGAGCCCAGGAGTGCCGGCGGCAGGGCCTGTGTGGTGGATGGGCATTAGAGCTCAGGCATCCCGTTTCACATCCCGAATAACTACACAGCATTGCTCCTGAGGTCTTACCTCTATCACCTAAAGATGTTTCTCTGAGTGAGGAAATGAAGCATGGGACGGGGAGCTTCCTTTTGTCCCTAGGACAGAGAGTGGCTCCCTCTGGCCCCCAAGGGGAAGGATGCTGCTGCTTACAATGACACCAACTAACACGGAGCCTGACAGAGCCCAGCTCCTCGCACTTACCCAAGCGGCCCACCGGCCAGCACCAGCCGCTCCAGGTCCAGCCCACTCATCAGCACATACACACCCTTACTCAGGTGGCCCAAGATGTTGTCAGCTGCCAGGGAAAAGGGCTAGTCAGGGGGAGGACTGTCCACAGCCTCCTTGCTTTTATAAAAGGTACTAGGCTTGGTAATGTGGCTGTCACACAAAGGCCACCTGACCTTCAGCTAGGGTTCTGGGTGAGAGAGAAAAGGATCAAGGTTACCACTTCAAGTTAAAAGTGGAGCTTCCCAAGAGGAGCCTGTTGGAGGGACTCTCCACTATCAACAAGACCAGACACAAAGCTCCACATTGTTCCATCTTTTTCCCTCTCTTCCTGCACTGCCGCGGATGGGAAACATGAGAAACGAGAGACGGCTGCGGATGGGGAACGAGAGACGGCCGTGGGTGGAAATGAGAGGCAGCTGCGGATGGGAAATGACAGATGGCTGCAGATGGGAAATGAGAGACTGCCGTGGATGGGAAACATGGGAAATGAGAGAAGGCCACGGATGGTAACAAGAGACTACCATAGATGGAAATGAGAGACAGCCATGGATGGAAACGAGACGGCTGTGGATGGAAACGAGATGGCCGCGCATGGAAGTGAGAGACAGCCGCAGATGGGAAATGAGAGATGGCCACGCGTGGAAGCGAGAGATGGCCGCGGATGGGAAACGAGAGATGGCCACGGATGGAAGCGAGACAGCCGCACATGGAAGTGAGAGACAGCTGCGGATGGGAAATGAGAGACGGCCGCGGATGGGAACGACAGACGGCCGCGGATGGGAACGAGAGACGGCCGCGGATGGGAACGAGAGACGGCCGCGGATGGGAACGAGAGACGGCCGCGGAAGGAAACGAGAGATGGCCGCGGATGGAAACGAGAGACGGCCGCGGATGGAAATGAGACGGCCGTGGATGGTAATGAGAGACGGCCGCGGATGGGAAACATGGGAAACGAGAGACGGCGCGGATGGAAATGAGAGACGGCCGCGGATGGGAATGAGAGACGGCCGCGGATGGAAACGAGAGACGGCCGCGGATGGGAATGAGAGACGGCCGCGGATGGGAAT